ACCACTGCATACCAGGAATGACACAACCCCTGCTGTTTTTAACATGTTCTTATCTAGCCACCAGTTTGTCAAAGTCTCTAAGATCTTTATGCTACCCATTTTTTACTGCTTCCAACAAATCAGCTTCAAGCACTGACTGGCATAATATATCCCTCCCACTGACAAGCGCCTTTAAAACGAGACCATAAATGTTTTTTACCTTACCCGTCAGTGGTTTTAATCAGTGTATGATGCTGCCCTTGGGAGGTAGTGGAGTGGATGGTTGGGAAACAAAGTGTGTCAGTGCAACACTTGTGGCCTCAGGTCTCTCAGGTAGCTTTAATCACCTAAATTTTGTGAAAAATTAACCATATGTCATATCAGAAAAGACGGTTTTACTAGAGGTCATATGAGTCTGTCTGGGACTCTGGGAGTTGATGATGCATCAGCACACACTGTTACTGCCTTTGCAATCAAAAACACATGCAACACGGGCCACCGCTTTAGCTCACCTGGTTGAGCTGGCAAGCCATGTACTGGGGCTATAGTCCCTGATGCAGTGGCCATGGGTTGGAATCCTGCTCATGGCCCTTTGCTGCAACTCCTTCCACCATTCTCCTTCCCCACTTTCCTGTCTTTCTCTTGACTGTCCTATCTAATAAAGACAAAAATGGCCCAAAAAAAGAAAAAAAGAACACATATGACACAACCAAGTTTTCATAGAGAACTTTATTGAATATATCTATATATTTATATATGTATATATACCTTCAATTTTTTTGTCTTTTCCAGTGAGGATCAGTATATTGTATTGTATTGCTTCCCCTTTTCCTTATTGTCCCTTACGTGTATCAGTCTGCTGAGTTTTCCATGTGAAGAGTTTCAGGTTTGACTGGTGTCAGTAACCCAAGTGTTGGGAAAAAGAACCTGGTGACTCATGCTGGCTTTAAAATGGCTTTCACATCGGGACATGAGTTGAACACGAAAGAACAGAATGCCTGCTTTTGACCATGTTCTCACAAACACTCAGCAAAAGCTAAACGCTGAGGACACATGCCAGTGTTCATTTAGTGAGGCGCACATTTTCTGAAGCATCTGGCAGATGCATCTTGTTGCACTTAATGTTTACTGTGTAAAAAAACCACTGACAGCACCAACACGGACTACATTTAGCTCACTTTGCCAGCACTTAGGCTACTGACCATGTCACAGGCAGGCGCGAAGCCTTTATAGCCCAAAGTTACAGGTGTAAGAACTCTGAAACAATAGAACATTAAGAATATCTATACATACCACCACCAAAATAAATAGATTAATATAAATTCTATCGCCTACAGTTATACACTAGTCAAAACATTAAAAAACACTGATTATTAGGCTACGTTGGCAATGTTCAGAAAGTAAAAGATCGATGCATTTTCTAAAAGGAAATGAAGACAAAATGATGATGGAAGAGAGAAGAAACAAACAAAAAAATATAGACTAGGAAAAGTACAAAATTAAAGAGCAATTCCGAATAGATATAGAGAACATAAAAAATGGGGGAAAGTATTTGTAAAAAAGAAAATAAGATAGCAAACAGAGCAGAAATAACATTTACAGTAAAAATAAAGTACACATTAGTTGCTCATTTTTATTTTATAATGACAACTGAGACTGAGGGGGAAAAAAGAAAAAAAGATAAAAACTCTCACTTTCTGTTTGCCCTTTAGCAAGGCACATAACCCCCAACTGTTCCAGTGGAGCCGCTCATAAACCAGTCAGGCGCTGAGGTTTGCACTGGGCAGCTTCCAGTTCCAGCTTCTAAACTGTGCGTGAGGGCGTTGCTGAAATAGAGCATGCACGCTCAATCAACTCTTCCCCGTAGAAAACAATACTGATAAATAACGATGACGTTAAAAATGAATATACACATTATCACCCTCTCACTTTTGTGCACATGCTTTCCACGTGACACCACTGACTTTTAGTGTACATAAGCAAGAGAAAAAAAAAACTGAGAAAGTCATCGAAAGGAATATAAAAAGATTACAAAAAAGAAAAGAAAATAGACTTCAAAATGTATAAATACCCTGCAATAACCATTACGATCATAGAAACACCAGCAACATGATATTAATACTCAAGGAGTTACAATCTCATGTAACCTAGAGATGATAGTCAATCACTCAGAATGAAAAGACAACCCAAAGATTACCATTTACAGACATTATGTGCTTTTGTTGAAGTGAATGGGTCGATAATATACTTAATAATACATTTATTATTCTAGATTGTGAAATAGTATATAGTTATAGCTAATAGAAAGACCGAGGGAAGAGGAGCAGAAGCTGGGGTTTGTGCTCTTTTCTCTTTCCCTCATCACCCAGGGTTGGGTTGACTTCATTTTCAAACACAGCTGATTCAGAAGTGCATTCAGAGTTTGATATATTAGTCCAGTAATCAGATTTAGAGCACATCAAGGGTTTCAGTCCAAAATATTAGGCAGTACATACGTCACAGAATTATTTTCTCTCGTTTTAAATATCTTGGACGACATTTCAAAAAAACGCCCTCAAACGTACGCTTTGCTCAAAATCTAATTGGTTGGTTAGAAATTCTAGCAAGTTAATTTATAATATCTTAAACAAGTATGTGCTTTGCGTTATTCCTAAAGAGTAAGTGATGTACTTTGTTCAATAAAATGATGATAGCTCGTATTGGAGCAGCACATGGTTTGAATTTTCAGCTTTTGATTCTAACTAAAACGCCACCCCCTGAGTGTAAACTAAATCAAACCCCCACCCTGTTTGCTTGTTTTTTTTGCAGCCCTTTGCGGGAACACTCAACAGATACTACCCTGGAGCCTTCGGGATCCAATCATCATCATAAGCAGTCATATGAACCCTGAAATCAGTTTTAGGCAATTAAATATCACACAGAGTGCATTAAAGTCCATCTTTGTAAGCACTTTCATTGACTTTGGAGTTGTATCTTAGAGCATTTCTATCTACTGATGATACAAAATGAGTATACTTCACAAGCAGGGAGTCCAATGTTCAACACTTTTAGGAGCAGTAACTATGATTATGATTTAATTTTAACCAAGGATTGTAGTGGCTTATCCCTAACCATACTTGAACTATAGTTTGCAATGACCGCTATCTTTCTCGAATACAAGGTGCAGTCAAAAAGCTCCTGTTCTGTTCCTGTTGCACATGAATGAAGTGCAGCACAATCACGCAACAAGCAGCAAGTCTTGTAAGTATGGATTCTGCATTATTTCAGGCATTAAGGGCCATTTTTGCGACCACTTGCAGATGCACTTTAGCAGTTTCCCCATGGACCTGCAGAAGCAGCACCGTGTCGAACTCTATAAGAAACCCTAAATGCCAGATTTGGGTCCCTGCGACTTCTTGCCCTTCTCCCTAAAATTCAAGAAATTTGAGGTGAAGGGTCATCATTTTTAAAAAGAGTGGACACAGCATTTTTCACAGATGGTGCTTGACAAACGTACAGAAAGTGACTTCCTGAGTGTGTTGCAGGAGCACTGGGAGCAGCGCATCACTGTACAAAGAGACGACTTTGACGGGGATGGTGGCCAAACTTAAATTAGATATTATTTTTTAGTTTGTACAGTCTCAGTTCATGTTCAGTCACAGGCCAAACTGATTGCCTTGCTGTAGAATGGGACTGCCTGAGAGTGTTGCAGGAGCAATCGGAGCAGTGTATCACTGCACAAGATAACTATTAGGAAGGAGATAAAGGCGATGACGTCAAAACCTAACGTAGGTATGGTTAGTGTTGAACTTTTTGATTGCACCATGTATAAAAAAGATTTTCCAATGACAAAGTTTCTGTCTGGTTATTGGGTTGACTAGACTACTCAATGCAATAACAAGCTTAAATCTTGGCAGCACGTTGAGATACTGATTGTTTTTGTCAACTCTGTCACTTGGTCATGATTTAGCAAATGTTTCACACGTTTAAACAAAAATTCCAGGAATTTAATGTCAGATGAAGTTACTTGTTCAGATGGGCATGATGCTCCAGTACCAAACTGTGACAACTGGCAGTGGTGTAATGGCGGCGCTGAGGGTGAAGCTTAAATGCTGCTTCCTTCCGTAGGACTGTGGTGAATGCCCATCTGTCACGGTAATTACCTTTGACACACAATGAAAAATAAATAGGCTCACAGTGAGGCAGCCTCCTCTGGTGTGTGTGTGTGTGTGTGTCATTAGGTTAGATATGGCTGAGGTCACTCTCTTGGGACCAGAGGTTAAGTAGCTACTGTTGACCTTGAATTGGCAGTCAACTCATCACTGAGCAGCTTGTTACTTGGCTGAATGTTCTCGTCTAAGGCACTCTGTTCCATTCTTGTTTTAAAAGGAACAGAGAGTTGTGGCTTATGCCATCTGGCCACTTTTTTATTTTATTATTTGTGATGTGTGAAAGTGTTGTACAGTTCACAATACCGCAGTGCAAGGATGAGGTGGTTTGCAATGGGGAGAGATACCTTGAAAGTTGGGTTAAAAACAGAAAACTGATTGACTAGATTTTCCATCTAGATCTAAAAACCACCACATCTGAGCTTTTTGTATTGTTTTGTTAAGAGCAGTTGAAATCCTTGTAGATCCTGACAAAATAGAAGGGGAATTTTAATTAATGGCCTCCCTTGTCTCCTCGGCAAGGCACGCAACTGCTGCATGAGGAGTATGAACCGAGAAACAATGATTCAGAAATTAAACGTCAAAACAAACAAAAACCCCAACTACATCCCCGATTGCACCATTGTTGTACAATTAACAAAAAAAGGGTTCAACGTTTTTAAGGCAGTTGTCATGAACTTGCACTTGGTATTAGGTGTTTTATGACTGTTTATGATACTGGTTGTAGTTATGGCAGCTAGATACCCCAGGCTCAAGGATAGAAATCTTCTTGTTGAAATGTCACCCACACATTTCAGCCCTACTCTTCCTCTCTAAAATTCTAAATTCTCTTTGTTTTTTTGCTTTCTCTTTGCCCTCTCTCCCTCCTCTCTGAGGTTTACTTTTAAACTGGTGTAGTTTTCCTGTTTAGTGTATCTGAGTTGCTATCCCTGTCCCTTTTGGCTGTCAGTCGGTCCAGGGTTCCCACGTTGCCCCTGTCCCTCTCCATGGTGGCTGTGGATATCGGGGCTGGTTGGGCCGGCGCAGCGGCCGATGTGGTGGTGTTCAGCGGTGCTGCATTCTGGGCTACAGCTGCCGCCGCCGCCGCCAAGTTGGATTTAGAGTGAGATGGGAGTGTACCGCTGCTTATCACTGCTCCTCCGCCTCCGCCTCCTCCTCCGCTGCCGCCGCCGCCGCTGCCGCTGGAATCTTTAGGAAAGTAGTTGTGGAGCTGGTAGAGCGTGGCGCGGTCCACCGTGCCATAGAGAGGTGGGGCGCCTCCTCCAAGGCTGCCTAGCTTGGAGTCCCTCGACAGGGTGTACATGGAGATGTCGCCGCCTCCTCCGCTTCCACCGCTGCTGGTGTGGTGGGGGTTGGGCAGAGTGGCCACGGAGAATGGCGGGGCAGACGGCGGCAGGCTGAAGGTCTTGGAAGCTCCGATGGGCGAGGTCTCCTGTGAACGTGGTGGATCGGTGGAGCGCGAGCTGGAGCGAGAGCGCCGTCTGAAGCGGTAGCTGGGGAGGCGCAGCATGGCGTGCGTGGTGCTTTTGAAGAGGTCGGTGCGAGAGCGACACCGCAGCTCCTTGTTTTTCTCGATGTAGATGTTGACAGCGAGGACGCCGACCATCTCGGCCAAGATGAAGGACAGACCGCCGAAGTAGAACGACCAGCCGTACGAGTAGTGCCACTTCTTGTCCTCGTCCTTCTTGGGAGAGATGTCGCTCAGTGCTGCTGAGATGTACACGATCACTCCGATGATGTTGCTGAGGCCTAAGGAAATATACGAGACTTCTAAGTGCTCCTCTGAGACAAATTAACCTGCAGCTTCATTAAACTGTTTTGCAGGCGGGGATACTAGAAGTGCTCCCTTTCAATTATACAGAGTAGAGGCAGGCAGAATATAAAAACTATCGGCATATCATACATAAGAACTTCTTATTATGACTGCATTTGACTGATAGGTGGGAAACATGTCAGCTTTAAAAAGCAACAGTTCATTTAAGTAGTATAATAATGGTAATAATAATAAGACAGACTGAAGAAATGTGTTAGAGGTGAAAATGTTGGCCAAAGAAAAAAACATTAAAGCAAAACGCAGATTGAGGTTTTGTTTAAATTAAAATGACACAAAGTATTTGATTCTAGAAGTCTTGAATTTTATAATTCCTTATTATTAGGATGCCCCACTAACTCTCTGAAAAACCTTCAATCAGAGTTCTGACAGGAATCAGCAAAGGAGATTTCTTACATATTAGCTTTGCTTCATAAAGCATAAAATCCAGGATAGAATTTAAAATCCTTCTTCTCACATAGCAAACTGTTGATGAACAAGCTCCACTGTATTTTAAAAGATATTATTGAACCATATTGTCCCAACAAAGTGCTTTGCTCTCAGAGTCCTTCTAGTTTAGGTCGAGGAGGCGGGAAACCTCTACTTCTAAGATTGAAACTTTCTTTGTTAATAAAGCTTATAGTTGGGGCCTTTTAGTAAATCCTGGACCATTCCTTAATTATGATGCTATTGGTCCAAGCTGCTGGAGGACTTGATGCACTGAACACTTCTCTCCTCTACTGTTTTTCTCACTCTATGCATTCATATACCACCATTGCATGTCACTAATGTCTTCTATCTGCTGTAGTTTGTGTTTTGTCCTCTCTGCAGGTATCTCTGGCTGTGAAACTACACGTTTCTGATCAGCGTTATGCATTGTGAGTTGATTCCTATATACTATCTTGTTCTCGCTCCCATTTAACCTCACCCCAACCAGTTGAGGCAGATGGCTGCCTCCCTGAGTCTGGTTCTGTCGTAGATTTCTTCCTGTTAAGGAAAGTATCTGAACCTAACTCAAGCAACATGGCACCATCTGACTAAAATCCACTTGTGTGGTAGCCATTTTCAGAGTGATGATAACATCATGCATGCTGTTAAGGAGTATCTAGAGTCTCAAGATGTGACCTTCTCCTGCAAAGGAGTAGCGAATCTTAAACGTCGTTGTACAAGCGCATTGACGTTAAAGGAGATCATGTTAAAAAATAATGCGAGATAAATCTTTCTCCGGTGGCGTTTTTGGGTAAGGCGGAGAACTTTTGGAACTACAAGGTGTGTCAGAAAAGTTCTAGGACTGGTGTCACAAAAGATATATTTCAAATCCAAACTACAAACTCCAAGTTTCCCCTTCGAAGTAAACCCCCTGGAATCTAACGCACTTTCCCAGCCTTCTCTGCCACACCACCATGGACTACTGGAAGGATTCTTCCGGGATCCTCTGCAGCTCTGTCGTCACAGCCATCTTGATGTCATCCACGTCTACAAAACAGGTCCCCTTGATGACCCCTTTGAGCTTGGGGAAGAGGAAAAAAATCACACACATCCAGGTGGGGTGAGTAGGGAGGTTGCTCCAGCACGGTGATGTTCTTCTCATCCAGGAACTGTTGGATGCTCAGGGCGTTGTGAGCAGGTGCGTTGTCATGGTGAAGCAGCCACGAATTGTCCTGGCACTACTCTTGCCTCTTCTAGCGCACTGAACGAGGCATACGCCACTGGATCACTTTGTAGACGTGCTGGTTGATGGTCTGAAGGGAAAAACTGGTGGTTTGTAGTTTTGGTTTGAAGTATATATTTTTTGACACCAGTCCTGGAACCTTTCTGACACACCTTGTACTCTCAGTGGAAACACAGAAGTCTCACGGTAAAGCGGCGGTCTCACCTGCAGCCACGAACAGAATCCCTCCACCAAGTATTATGTTCCTTTTGCTCTTGTAGAAGCTGCTGGAGGCAACACACACTCCACCCAGCAGAAGCAATATGGCACTGAGGATGGGGAAGATGCTGGATGCTCTCACTACACCTGCAGATGACAGGAGATACATCCCCTTTATGGCTGTGGAAACACTGTATTCCAACCTTATTTTTCAACTTTATCTGACATACAACTTAATCCTGTACTTTTGCAATCACAGTACAATTAATACTTCTGAGGTTCAGAACCATTTGAAGGTGCAAAGTTAACAGCCTCATGACTCTCCTGGAAGGAAAACGTGTTACTGAGACTTGCTATAGCTGACACTACAACTTGGCCGTGAAACAGCAACCATCTATTTATACATTTCTTACATAATCTTTAGTACATAATGTCTTTTTAGGCTCTGGAGAAGCTTTGTCAAAACGGAGGAAATTACTTAATCACTTAAGTGACATCAGCCAAATGCATCACCACTTATGATCAGGAAAAGACAGCGTGTTTACAAGCTGAGTTTTAAAGAAGTTAGTGTTTATCAGGCCACACAAAAATGTGCTAGTGACTTGCATTAATGGGTCTATTAACAATTGGAAAATCAAAACCGAATTCTTCATTCTTCGTAAAACAACAAAAAAACAAACAAGCAAAAAAACATGTCGGTAAGCAGCTGCTCAAGATCTGCAATCGGGATGCAAAAGGTTGCATTATGTATAAATCCACTACAGCGCATCCCTCTGCAGACACCTCAAGCCTTTAAGCACCAGAGATAACAGAGAGACATTATAGAAGATTAAAATGCTGAAAAGCTCCATCTCAGGCAGGAACATGTGGAAATAGCAGCGCCTTCATATTCTCAAGGTGACTTTTCAAGCCGCGTTAGCTTTTGTTTGCCTCCGACGGGAAAAGATGATGCTGTGATAAACATATATTCACAGAGGCTCCTGTCAGATATGTTGTTGCAGATGAGTCTCTGACAAGAAAAAAAAAAAAAAAAAAGGGCAAGTGGGTGGTGTTTGCCTCTTCAGGATAATTTATGGATTATTTGATAGTTAGCTTTTGTTTGCCTCCGACGGGAAAAGATGATGCTGTGATAAACATATATTCACAGAGGCTCCTGTCAGATATGTTGTTGCAGATGAGTCTCTGACAAAAAAAAAAAAAAAAAAAAGGCGTATGTGGGTGGTGTTTGCCTCTTCAGGATAATTTATGGATTATTTGATAAGTAGCTGATAGGAAAGAATGCTGCGCTGAGTTTAAAATAGTGGCTCTGTAGTGATTTTCTGACCTTTTGGGTGTTTAGGTGAAAAACTCTCAAGAGCATAATGAGTCATGTAATAAGTGCCTCTTTCATTGAGGCTGAATTTTTAGTGTGTTGGAAGAAGAGTAAAATAATTAGGCAATAAACTGATTGACAGAAAAATTGTGATTTCTAAAGGAAAAATGCCACAAACACTTAATTTGCTTGTTTTCTGTGTCATTTTTTAACTGCAAACTGAAATGTCTTTGATTTTAAGCGATTTTCTTTTTCATTGACTCGAGAACAAAAATTAGGAGATGTAAAATATAAACATAGTCACATCTCAGAAACTTGTTGCTGTTGCTGATCTACCAAATAAAATCCTCAATGGTGCAAGATGCGGCTCTTTTAGGCATTTCCAGTCTTGTCTCATTAGCCACAGGAGTCACTGGAATTAAAAAATCTGTACGTCTCCCAGGATTTCTAAACATTTTCTGCTATTAAAACAAATCAGAAAGACTACGCAGCCTTCAGGGAGTGAAAAGCTTTCTTCAGTCGGTGCTGCACAGCAAAGCAGACGCGAGAATTAAGGATAGCATCGCAGCCTCCTTTATAGAAATAGTCTGTCTTTATATAATGTATAGAAGGAACATATATTTTGCAAAGCAGAAGGGCTCAGGGCTGCATGAAGAGAATCTGCCATCACAATGAAGGCAGGATGTGAAACCTGAATCCTGGGCTGAAAATAATCCATTAGCGAAGGCTGATCTTTCAATCCATCTGTGGAAAAAAAAAACAGCTTTTCTGTACACCCCCAGACTCCCAACCCCATGCACCTGGGCATTTATACACACATGCACACACTGGAGCAACACACACCTTCAGGAACACTTTGCTCGAATCTGACATCCGTGCATTGATGTCCGCCCACCATCCCCTTCTGTCCTCTCTGTATCCGTGTGCGATGGAGACTGTAGCGTGTATATGTGTGTTGTTTTGCGTTCTGTTGTGTACGTACTCCAGTGTGCAGTTATCTAATGTCTCTACACACATGTTTGCGTGCGTTTTGTTGTGCGTTTGTAAGAGCGAGTGTGTGTGCGTCACTCACGCAGCAGATACTCTGCGGCATCTTGGTCGTAGTCTGCATCGTCAGGGAAATGATTGATCTGGGAACACACACCTCTCTTCAGGCCTGAACAACAACAACACAAAAAAAAAAAAACAGAGGAAGAGGAGGAGAGGTTGAGGAAGAGGAAGGTCATAGAGAAAAGCAGAAAACGCAAGGAAAAGAGAAAGATGGGTAAAAGACGGAATGGTACAAATGGTACAGAAAGAGGGAGAGAGAAAGTGGAGACAGGTGGGAAAAGACAACTATTCTAGAAAGCAAATTTAAAAATGATGAGGAGGGGAAAACACAGTGATAAGGGATGGAAAATCATATGGAGCAGGACGGAAAAGAGGCAAGATGGAAAAATGAAGGAGGTGAAGCGAGACAATTAACACTCTAAACCCCCAAAGCCTGCCTGCAGGTTTGAAAGGTATGTTCTTTTAGAAAATGTGGCCAAAATGACCCCGTCTATCAGACCTTTAAACCATAAAAACTGCAACGGTCCCTGAACTATTCATCTGTGACGTTCCGTTTAATGTGTAAAATGATCCCAATCTAAGCTTAACATTGTGGTATTTTATCAAAATCACTTTATTCTGTTTCCTTTTTTAAAAATAAAAATCACAAAAATTTACCATTTGTTCAAACTACATTCAGCAAAAAACAAAAAAATTGGCATAAGCATAAAGCTATTAGCGACTCAGCTGTGACTAACAGTCATGTGACAAAAAAAAAAATAGATCAAATTTTGGTTGCACTGGCATGAACTGCAGGCTGTGTTTACAAGACAAGAAACAAGTATCAAGACAAATTTAAAAGGAAAGCAGTAAAATTATTGTAGTCTGTAGGTTCACTTTCCCCCCTGATCTGAAGACATGTGAAAAAAAAGGTAATAGCTGTTGATGCAATTCTTTTCAACTTTTGTAAAAAAAAAATCACTGAAATGCCGTTATTTGATTTTTTATCCATGCGTCATGCACCACAGAGGAATTTCAAGTTCTCTCTACTTCCAGTCATGGTTGAGTTGTTTCCACAGAGGTGCAGGACTTTATATTGCAGCTGCAAAGACAAGTGATGCACACAAATGCCCAAGAAGAAAAGAGCAACAAATGGTTGTAAAAAAGAATGATAGCAGATTTCATTATCATTCATCAGCACAGTTACTATGAGTCAATCAGAGGACGAGGTGATGAGTAGTTGTTGACTGTCTACAGTCATGCTCTGTGAGACTGTACTTAGGCCCAGTTGTGCTTTGAGCTAAAGGCTACCAACGACACGCCAACACGCTCACAATGACAACGCTAACAGCTATGTGATCACCATCATAATCTGACACTCTGCTTAAAATGCAGTTTGTTATCAAAGCATGCATTGGTGTATCCTCTTGGTGTCAAGATATCAGAAGAAAGGTCACCAGAGGGATGTCCAATATTTATGTTAATGTGCAAAAAGTCCAGTCTGGACCGAAGCTGTGGGCCGACTGTGCCAATCTCATGGCAACAAAACCAGTATAGATAAGAATGATGGTAGCTGACAGGGGAAAATATTTGAATATACATAATTTATTTTCCACATCCAACCACATCTACCAGGATATCAATCATAAGCATCAAAAGCTATACGTCTTCCTCCGCTTCCCTGTATGGCACATTGTTCTGGGGCCCCTGTGTCGAACTAAAGAGGCTAAAAATATTCTTCTGTGCCTTTTTCTAAACGCAGCACAACAGCAGCCTGCCGTGTTTCATGCTGTAAATCGCAGCACAAACCGTTTTTTTGTATACTTGTATCGCTTATTGGCACGTAGTCGTTTACCTTGACAGCTATTTGTGCATCCAATGGACGAAATTAACATCAAGAGGAAAACAGAAGATACCCGTCTTTCTTGAAAAAACAAAACATAACAACAACAACAACAACAAAAAAAAGACGTGAAAGGCACACTTCAGAAACAAACAAAGATATCAGCCAAGAAAAAAAAAACTGAAGCACAATGAGATGTTTTCAGGACAGACATGTCTTGGACATAATTATTCATCTGAGAGGATCAGAAAATGGATTAAACAGAGATGAGAAATTCCTCAAATGTCTCCAGCTGTCAACAAATGTCATTGTTTGGCCACATCTGGCAGGACAGAAAACAGCCACAACAACTAGTAAACTCGATGAAACCACTGTGGAAGAATATTTTTACAGCCAGAAAACCAAGAAATGTTCTTCCATGTCACAGCTCAGTGCAAGAAATTAAATATGCAGTGAGAAGGCTGGCGTTGTTGATGGTGCTCTTTTATTCATAATCATTGTACTGGTGCCTCAAAAGTAATGTAATAATTTATTGACTTGGCGTCATGATGAACTTGATATTGACGCTATGGTATGTGCATATATACTCAGCTGCTTCTGTGTCTGTGCATGACAGCAGAAGAATAAAGGCAGCAGGAAAAAAATGAGGCAAAGCTGAACAATGCAAAAATGCACCAAAGGAATAAACACCAGGAGTTAAATTAGCTTTTTTTTTTTTTTTTTTATAAGATCTCAGTATCACGTTTAAAGCAGAAAGCAGTGATTATATCACAGTGAATTATGGGTGCAACTGCATATCACCAGATTTGCTTGTAGCTAAAGATTTGAAGGTGCTGTAGCTGCATCAGCTGCTCAGCAATCATGGTGTTCTGCATTTTGAATAGGCGACAACAGGATGTAGCGCGCCATCAGGTTACATTAGGTCTTATCACCGACCTGCACCATATGCCACAGGCTGCTGTTATTCACCGCCTCTATTCTCATCATGTAGCCGAACTAAGTGGGAAAGTAGAGGGGGAGTTCAGTCATGCTGATACTGAGTATCTTTGGAGGAAAAAGTTGACACTGAAAATTTCTAAATTTCTAGCCATGCAACAGAATATATGTCCAGGTGATTGTAGCATTGTGTTGCAACAAGTGTTGCCCAGTGGCTTGACACACAATAAACTTGTTACCTAAACCTAGCCTCTGATTAAGCTCAGTCCACCTTAACCCCCCCCCATGTGAGACATTTGTGTAGAACCTTAATGTATTGCCTTATTCACCCAAACAACTGTTATTTCTAAACACAATCTGTGCAGCTATTGCCTTCAGACAACGTAACTGGGGAAAATGTATGTATTGTCAAGGAGACAAGGTTGACATGCATTGTCTTGGTCACAAGGCATTATAACTGCAGTGTCGAGGTCGACTGGTTGGTCTGGTTGGTGATTATGCAGACAATCGCTGTTACAAGCAATACAGGATTAATCTATTATTTTTGGTGGCAGGAGAAACAGATAACTTTCCCTTTGTAACTCTCTGAACTCCAAAAACTGTTGGCAGGTTTGAAAGGCATATTTTCTTTGACAAAAATCGCTGAAATTAAACCATTTACCAGGCAGAAAGTGTAAAAACAGAAGAATCATCATTTTAAAAAAAAAAAAAAAACCTTTTTGATGGCACTACTCATCTGCAATGTGTCGTTTCGTCAGCAACTAAAAACTAATTTCAATATCTTTATATTTTATCTCTTCATCACTCATCATTTCATACTCATTTGTAACCAACAGTCACATGACAAATATTCTGTGGCTTTTTGGCTGAACTCCAGGCTCAGACAAAACAGAGCAGAGACAAGAAAAAAAAGAAAAAAAAAAAAGAAGGGCAGAAAAGAAAATACAGAGTCAAGCCAGTTATTTAATTTAATTTAATTTTATGAATCATTCAATGCATTAAGGTAATCCTCTCCCAGTCATGGTTGTGCTGCTTTCATAGAGGTGCAGGCTTTTACATTGCAAGTGTGACAGCAAAAAAACAGCAAAAAAAACGCCCAGATATTCCTTAGAGTTCAAAAGGTTACTGTTTGAATTTCCTCTGAATCTGATCCAAACAAACTGACACTGTGTCAAAGAAGACGTCGGTGTGGTTGCGTTTTGTTAGCCGGCTGAAAAAGTCAAGTGTAAACTCTGTAAAAACAGCAGTTTGCATATCACAGCTCAAAAACCAACATGACAGATCATCTAAAAGCTGTTGGCTAACTTGCTGGATCATCAGTCGATGAATATGAGGAAAAAGGTCTGATCCGAGTCTGTTTTTGTCATTTTAGTGAAAAATGATCCAATATGCTACAAATACTGGCTTTTTAACTGAGAATTAATTTAGGCTGACAGGGCCAGCAGGTTGTACTCAGTCATATGTGGTAGAGATTAAATGCGGACTTTTTCTTTCCCTGCCACCAGCTAAATTGAACTGAATTGAATTAAACTGAAATGAAATGAACTGAACTGAATTAAATTAAAATGAATCAAACCTAACTGAATTGAATTAAACTGAATTTAATTAACCCGAACTGAGCTTGAGCTTGAAGTGAACTGTGTTGATTTAAATTGAATTGAACTAAGCTGAACCGAATTGAACTGAATTGAATTGAAATGTAAAGTTTAACCAATAACAATGGGACCTCAAGTCGTTGCTGCAGCATGATATTCTCATAAAGATCGTAAAAATTTAAAAAGCAGATCAACATAATGGACAAAAAAGAAGTAGAGCAAGCTATTACACTGGCAGTGTTACAACACGTGACCATGTTTGTGAGTAAGAGAACACCTATTTATGTATGCTCTAGTTACACTGATGGGCACGCTGACCCCACCGAGACCCTCCAGCGACCAACACCCGAGAAAACACGCACATTCAACCCCCGACGTATCGAAAAAAGGTTTCCTTCAATACAGTCACAACCAGCCGTACCTTCGAGGCAGCAGATCCTCCAGAGGCCGGAGTGGGTGAGAGCCCCAGGGTCCTTCTTGTCCTTATTGTTGGACTCGTCCTGGGATGAGTTGGCCGTGCTGTTGCAGATGAAGGCCCGGGCGTACAGCCAGTAGTCCGTCCCGATGGCCACCGTCATCAGGGCGAACGCTGCAAACGCTCCCATGGTGGTCAGCAGCACCTGGATGCCTCGCTCCCACCACACCATCGCTGGGCGGGGAAGGAAACTAACATCTGGCAAGAGCACAGACAACAGAATCACTGGTCTGCAACAGAGAGGTCCAACCACTGCTCTGTTTTAATAGGTGACTACAGGAAGGACAACACTTCAGTGAATCAAAGCTGGTTCTGCTTTTTTTTTTTTAAACTTTATGTTCTGTAGGTTTGATGTACACATTAGAAGTCCATCACAAATCCAAAATGTTAGCTGCGTTTCTATTAGCAGCTTAGTTTTCTGCTTAATCCCTCACTTCTTGGGAAATATCCGTCACTCAAGACTAAAACACTCAACGCTAATTGGTCACACTCCTGCTGTGGCCCAGAAATGTAGTACAACCTCTGAAGAAGTCGTCTTAAAGATGATGTAGTTTACAGGTGACCAGTAGGATTTCTGTGACTATTACGAGAACCTTCAGCAATTTTGTTTTGGTCACTTCTTCCACCCATCTTTAGTGGATAGAAACAAGGTGAAATGTTGTTATGAGGTGGCATCAAATTATCATTTACACATTTTCACGACATGTGAACAGTCGAAAAACGTCACATGTAAACTGATTTTATCACAAGCGAAATGCTTTTTCACAATGTTTTAATGTGAAATACTTGAAAGTTGTATGCCTATTTTATTTTTTTTTACATTTGAATTTACTTTTAAAATGGCGGAAAATACTCATAAAAATGCTCTATAATACGATCCTCTAAGTTAGTTACCTGAGGGATACTCTGAGCCGCTTTTCGGCTATTATAGCACATTTTGGCAAAGCTGCAAAACAAAAGGTTCCTGTTAATTTGCAGCTCGTAATTCTTGTTTCCACTGGATGTACAGAAAACCCACAAACTCTTGAAATTTACAGTAACACCATATCACAAAACGAACAAATTCGATGATGCAAGTGTTTAAGTTGTTGTCATTTCTAGTCTAATATTTATTTGGATAAAGAGTTTTCCTTTAGTTCTGCTTGACAGAGAAATCAGTGGCTGGCATGTTGACATCTCTTCTCTGGTTTGATCAGTGTACAGATGTTTCATCAGGGGTTTGTAAGAGACTACAGGTGAGAAGTTCGACCCAAATTCAACAGCATAATCTAGGGGAAGCCCTACTTTTACAAATTACTGCGAAAATACGCACACTCTTCCTTAATCCATTGACTTCCATCATAATTTATTGGTTTAAATTTGCCCGAAAAGACTAAACGCCTGCTAAATTGAAAATGAGTAATTAAAAAATACATGTAGCCATTTCTGCATTCTGCCCCGTTCACAATTTATTCATTGAACTGTCAAATATTTATGCATTAATAGAACTACTGTCCCTCATGGGCCCCTGTAGGTGAGTGGTGGGAAGCTGCTCATGGGGTTGTATTCTGTGTGAGCACATTGGATTTTTTTATTACTTTTTTTTTTTTTTTTTCAATCAAAAAAAGAAACCAGCACACACAGCCTGAAGCGGTAAAGAAATGTTGGCGGCACGCAGCCAGCTAAGAACAAAATGCCGACCCCGCTGCATCAACAAAAAATATAAAACTCCAAATATTGTTCCGAAGCTGATGACAAGTGGATAGAAATGGAAATATACGGGGAAGGCAAAATGCATAATTTTCGACTTCAGCGGCTTTTCTCAGCAGATTTAAATTCTGACCTTCCTCTAAAAACCTGGACGTCCAAAGAGACTCATGATAAAAGGCTTTAAAAACAGCAAAATGTGGAGGTATGGAAAAGGTTTGCTGATCAGTGAAGGGGCGACTGAAGAAAGAGTTTTTGTACATATTAATAAAAACAAGAGGACATAAGAGATAAGAGGAGAGATGAGTGGAGAGGAGAGAGAAATCGGAGCTGAGAGGTGAACAGTGAGAGGGGAAAATTGAGATACAACACATCTGTTGTGCTTCAGGAAACATAAATGAAAATGGAAGAGGAGGGGCTGCTTCTGCATCTCCATTTAGCTCCACTGTAAGATTTCCAATCATTTCAATAGCAAACGCGGGCGCGAACGCTCGCTGAGAGCTGTGGAAAAACCCTAAGCTTCAGTTTCTATTCATGCAGCCGCAAACGGGAGGTTAATGTAAACAATCGATTGCACAGAGAATATGAATCCCAGTGTGGGCTTTTAAACTATTTGGCTAATTCAGCTGTCCTGCCGAGTGTTTCCATGGCAACGCAAATCCCAGAATAACAGAGACCACTGGTACTTTGACCCTGAAAGTGACCCGCCTGCTGGAATATGCATAAGGTGAGTCCTGGAAAGACGTCAGCGATAAAGCACCCGGGTTTCACGCCAGATTTTTATTCATTTATTTATTTTTTTCTAAATCAAAAACTGTGTTCTCATTCTGATGCACTTAAGGAAATACTTCAAATGTAGTGACTCATTTGTAATTCAAGTTGTCATTTTCTTGTCTTAATGCCTGTTTCTATCAACATTCACCTCCGTTTTTTTTCCTAAAAAGAGACTAAAAGCTCGGAGGCATTTTGTTTGTTGGACTCTCACAGTGAAACCTTTTGTGCAGCACACAATGATTCAACAAGTACACGTCCCTGCTGAGGAGAGAAAAGATAAGAAGCTACCATTTTGCTGTATGACAAAGTAAGGTACTGCTGCTATTGTAGCTGTGGTGTTGCTACCTGAAAAGCACTTACACTGTTTGCATCATCACATTTTGTACTTTCTAACAATATAGAATTGGCGTCATTAAATTACAGCGTGTTAAGGGTTTAAACGTTTTTTGTAAGTTACTTGGGCATGAGCTGTATTTCTGTGCATTTTTCAGTGTTTTTAAGCAACACTCGAAAAAAATACCTTCATACTAAACCTTGACTGATGCCAATCTTCAGCATTGCAGCGCTGCTTGATTCAATTAGCTTTAAGGAAACCACTGAACAGAATGAAACTATTCACTGCCCATGTGGGAAAACTAAGCAGAAAAAACTAGATTAAGAAGGATTAAATGTACAGAGCGGGGGAAACCCAGTGTCTGTACTCTACAGGGGTCACTGAGCCTTGAACCTGGAGCTGAGTGGGGGTCTGACAACACAAAAAACTTACACCAAACTTTAATTCTACACAACATGTGTGTCCTACAATTGGGTAAATTGTCCATCCTGCCACATCCTCACATGTGAAAGGTGAACATAGTCTTGATTTTCATCCTTATTGTACTTTTGTACACCTTATTTCTTAATATGCTTTACTTGTTTCTAGTTGTACAGAATTTCCCCACTGAGGGATTAATAAAGTTTATCTTAACTTATCCTATGTTATGTTGTCATATCTTATCTTCATGTATATTTAGAATTCAGACAACAGTGTTGAATTTGCCCAAGCAATTAGTCAAGTCATTTTAGATACAATATAACAAACGTCCATTCGTTTTCTCAAGGTGCTTCACAAAAATGTAAAAAATATTTAAATAAATAGAATAATATATATTCTTTTAATATACGTTTAAGTGAAGTCCAATAAATAATTCTTGTCCATCTACCAAACCATTAGAATATATATATTGTAATTTCATTTTCAAAAGGTTAAATTTCATCTATTTTATATTCATTAGATGTAAAGTGAAATCTTTCAAGCCATTTTGGGTTTTAACTTAGATGATTATTGCACATTGCTCAAGAAAATCTGAACTCCAGTATCTTAAATTATTAGAATATTTCCTAAGATTAATAATAATAATTAAAAAAGAAAAAAAAAAGGATATACACAATAGAAAAGTTCAACTTCTGAAAAGTCTGTACTCGGTTAGGGCTCCTTTACCACAAATTATTGCATCAATATATATATAAATAAACACAATACGTGTGTAAATAAATGTCAGTTTGCAGTGATAAAGCCAGTTCGGGCAGCAGCATAAATTTACACAAAATATTTCCTCTTTTTACATGAAAAAAGTAAATTGTGTTGCATCCAGTCTAGACAACAAGAGGTGACACAGTCCTATGTATCTCACCGTACTTGCTCCTGATTGGCCGTTCGCCTCAAAGAATTTATGGGACCTGACCAACCAAGGCTGGTCCATACAATTGAAAATCTGTTGCTCAGAGTCACAGCGCAGCCACAGACAACTAAATTAGAATTTAACGACTGAAGATTCAGTATTGAACTACTTGTTTCATTGCATTCTTTAAAAAAAAAAAAAATTATTATTATTATTTTTTTACAGCTTTTTCGTTCCCTGAACTCCTCACACATCCCTTCAGTCATATAAATATGGGCAAACATTTAGGTTGGTTACACAAATAGCAGCGCAGATTAATCGAAGCCACTCGCATTCTGAATCCAGACATCTGTGCACATCTGCACTGTGTGAGGGTGGTTTCCTGCACGGCTGTGTGGATGCATAACGTGTCATGCATGCGAATACAAGACTCCACATGTGTATCTGGTTGTTTGTCGAGGTAAGAATGCATCTGTTTGCGTGAGTGTGTGCGTGCATGTATGTTACCTGGGGGCATGTTTCGCCCTTTTGCCTCCATCTCCTCTCCCCCCTGCTGCCGCTGCCGCTGCTGCTGTTCTTCTTCTTCCTCGTCAGTGAAGAGCGCTCCGTAGCCCCGGTCCGAGCCGCCTCCATCCACCGTTTATCCTCTCGCTTTCTCACCCCTTCCCCTTTCTCCCTCGCCGCTCTGCCACTTCCTCGCTTTCTTAACCCTTCTTCCTGCTCCTCCTGTTCTCTCCACCAACTCTTCTCTTCTTTTTTTTTTCTCTTTACCTTGAGCACTCCTCCTTTGCTTCTTTCCAGCAAGTGTGTGGTGGTGGTGGTGGTGGGGGGAGGGGGGGGGGGGGGATACTTCACTTGGCGTCCTCTTCTCTCATTGAATTGTCATGGCAGTCATCTTAGCTACTGAGAAAGGCAAGAAAGAAGAGGTGAGGGGAAGGGGAAGGTGGAGAGGAGATGAGAGGGGGAGTGAGAGGAAAGAAAGAAGGAAAGAAAGAAAGGGACAGAAGGAAAAGGACCGGGAGAAGAAGATGAGGGAAGCAGGATGAGAAGATGAGATGAGGCGGGAGGGATTCGATTAACGAACGTGACATGAGTCTTGAAACCAGGGGATGCTCCTGTACGGAAACATCTCGTGTGCAAACATGTTTTCTACATGCTAATGTGTCATTGGAGAAACAAACAAACAAACAAACATGCAGACATCCAAAAACCTGATGCCGAAGGCAAAAACCCCCCCCCAAAAAACCCCCAAGCCCCCTCCCTGTCAAACACGAGAAGCTGGTTTGCCTCCGCGGAGAGAGAGAGATATAAAGCAATAGAAAAGAACAGGCGATGCGAGAGAGCGTGGTCTATTCCATCGCCATGGCAACAGTGAATTCCAAAGTCTATGGTGAAGCTGGCGAGTGTGTGTGTGTGTGTGTGCAGGCGATGCGAGAGAGCGTGGTCTATTCCATCGCCATGGCAACAGTGAATTCCAAAGTCTATGGTGAAGCTGGCGAGTGTGTGTGTGTGTGTGTGTGTGTGTGTGTGTGTTTGTGTTGGGGGAGTAGAGGGATGGATGTAACAGCTGAGAGGATTTTGCTGAGATTTAAAAAAAAAAAAAAAAAGTGTGTGAATTCCGTCAGTGTGCTGAAGGATATTAAACACGACGGACGTCAAAACACACATGTTTGTGTAGCCGGTGTACGTGACCGCTCATAGTACATGAGGAATGAACATTCGCAGGAGAGATGACAGACTCGTGAGTCATTAGTGCTGTGGTCACAGTGTCTCGGCATGTTTCATCCATCCAACTTTCTTCCCGTTGGTGCGATCGTTAATCACAAGCATTTAACAGCGTTTCATGCTTTGAAATGCACAATGCAGATTTTTTTATCGTCTCAAAAAGCCAAAGTTGGGATTTTGGTGCCTTACTCAAGGGCATTTCTACAGAGTGGCTTGCTTTCCTGCTTGATCTCACGTCCTACATTTTCGACAAGCGAGAATCTTCCTGAAGAGAGAATCCCCATCAGCGCTGACATGGGGGTTATGTTTAGCTTTTTTTTTTTCTTTTCTGAAAGCTGTTGCCAAAACTGCAGGGCACCAAAAATCCACATGAGAGATATCTGCAGCAACACAGCGGGGCATCTCGAATTGTTCCACGTCAACAGCGCATCCAGAGGTGCTTCTGATCACAAATTGCTATTTGGAAACTCCCAAGAAAACCAACAGCATCAGTTCTTTGTTCAAACACATTTAAGTCGAGCAGAGCTGTGAATCGTGACTGTTGTCACATCTTATGGAAGTAACCACAATTTTTACCCGAACTTGTCCAGATTCCTGTCCTTAACCCGAAACAAGTTGTTTTTTTGCATAACCAAACTTTGACCATAGTATTGGCTGATTAATCCATGATGTTTGGCCACAGGAGGAATAGACGACCTATAAATACCCCTATGTTCTCCCAGTGTGAAGTGACCCAACCTAACAGACACTGCTAGGTCTAACTTATTTCATATTTACTGAACGTTTGCTCAATTCGGCTAACTGACACCAGATCAATGCACACTGCACTTTGCTCCACATGCTGGAGGCCCAGTGCAACCCTTCAAAGGATAAAGCGGGCAAAGCAAACAGATGGATGGCTATGAATCTGGGCAGGTGCACACTGGTCACGTCTGATGTCATCGTTTTGATACAAAATAACCATATTTAAATGATTTAACAACTCTAGCTTTTTATGCTCATTTAGAATTTACTGAGGCTAACTGACCAGGTAGAGTGCACTGTGATTGTTTCAGTTAATCTACAGATAATGTCCAGATTTTATTTTTCTTGCAAACATTTGGAAGCTATGGTAATAAAAATAGGACTTTGGACTTACGAGGTGTGTCAAACAAGTTCCAGGACTGGTGTCACAAAAGATATATTTCAAACCCAAACTACAAACTATTAGTTTTCCCCTTCACACAATCAACTAGCACGTCTACAAAGAGATCCTGTGATGTTCGCTTCGTTCAGTGTGCAAGCATCCGACACTTCCTGGATGAGAAGAACATCGCAGTGCTGGAGCAACCTCCTTACTCACCCCTCCTTGCTCCGTGGAATTTTTTCCTCTTCCCCAAGCTCAAGGGGGTCATCAAGGGGACCCGTTTTGAAGACATGGATGACAAGATGGTTGCGACGACAGAACTGCGCAGGATCCCGGAAGAATCCTTCCAGGAGTGCATGGCGGCGTGGCAGAGAAGGCTGGGAAAGTGTGGTAGACTCCAGGGGGATTACTTGGAAGGGGGGAACTTGGGAGTTTGTAGTTTGGATTTGAAATACATTTTTGTGACACCAGTCCTGAAACTTTTCTGACACACCTCGTATGACTGATAAATCTGTATGGACGTAAATGTTGTTGGATATGCGACAATATGAAGACTTTTTTGAGCCGGTTTTTTTTTTTTACAGACAAAACATAGACAAAATGCAGAAAATGCTTAGGCTACTTTAGAAACGGCATCATCACACAGTTTATCCAACAGAATGGCTCCGACTCTCAGCATTTTCTGCAGCACACGTAGCAGAGTGCATCTTAGCAGACGATGCTGCAGAGTCAAGCGGAGTTTTCACATTAAGTTGCAAACAAATTGGTGCAATGCATTAGTAGCAAGGTAAGCAATTATGTCACTTTCCCCTTTCAATGTAACTCTAATATATATAAAGAATATCATTCGACATATCAAGATTGGAAATTTTTGCTTCTGAAAAATCTGAATTCCAGCATCAGTTATCCTTTAGGTTTCAGATTGGATCTCAGCTACAAGAAACCATGTCAACCTCTGGTCTGTTCTGTTGCTATTAACAGGAGGAAAAGTGTAACATCTGGACACCTTCTAATGCAACTGTCTCTACTATGAGCAGTACTATTAGCTTCATCCAAACACTTGCTGTGAACTGAAATCAAAGACTACTGTTCAAACAATGTGATCTCACTTTAAAATTCACCTGCCTAAAGAAAAAATAACCAGTTTAATCATCTATATCTTAAACTAGAGGTTTTTAGTCGTCTCCTCTCTCTTCTAAAGGAAACCCTGTTGTTGCAGAGACACTAAAACAAATTGTTCTCAGTGCAGAGAAAGTAAAGAATCAAAGTACAGGCAGAAATTAAAGCTTTTTATGGCAGTGAGTGAGCAAGGAGTCCATCCAGAGAAAACTGTACACACTAACGCTGGCTGGAACTCTTCAACACCTCCACCCCCACTAGGGAACGAAGAGAAATTTAGCATTGACTAGCAGGATTTTTTTTGGATTGTGAAACTTACAGAAAGTACTGGTGAAGAATCACAGCGTAATATTTTCTTATGTAGCACTTAAACACATCCTTTTCCTCGGGACTCACAGATAGAGGAGAGGAACTGACGTACCATCTGTGACGTCACTCTGGTTCCTTAAGGCGACAACGTGAGCCTTTAATTTGGGTTTCCTGCTTTCCATTTTTGCTCTGTAATAGACAGTAACTCTCTAAAAGCCTTATCATCTTCTTACCATCTAACTTACTTTCTTTCGCCGTAATCAGATGAATGATGTGAAATTCATTTAATACCCAGCGGTAAATTACAGCAAAAGTATAAATTAGGAGATAAATACGAGATGTTTCTGTAACTACAGCATTCCCTGATTGGCAGTTCCTCCCACATTTACACAGCAGGTCATATTCTGTATATGAGCATTTATCTGCGGATACAGCAGGGCAGGGCGAGGCAGTTCAAACATTTCAAAAGAGCTGAAAGGTTGATACCACCCTTTTAAATCCTGCTAAGGGGTGTGTTGGGTGCTTTTCATTAGAAGGAATCCTGCTGAATCACAAGTCAGACTAATTATTGCCACCTTATGGCCTTTTAATGCATTATGTAACTCCATAAATTAGTTAAACTTCTCTTAAATGTTGCAGAACTGTAGGTAGAACTAGTGTGCTTAGTTTTCTGTCTCAAAGTGTAGCCCTGTGATAGACTGGTGACCTGTCCAGGGTGTCCCCTGCCTTCGCCCTAAATCAGCTGGGATAGACTCCAGCCCCCCGCCCCCGCAACCCTAGTGAGGATTAAGCGGTGTATAGATAATGGATGGATGTAGGTAGAACTGCATACATGAATGCAGATATTAGAATTGAATAGTATAGTTATGCCATCTCTACATACAAATACAGGAAACTTTTCATTTACTTTTCAAATAATCAGTAAAAAGAAATGACGTAAACTCCTGATGCCACAAAGTCACTGATTCATCTTTTCATATGACAATTTCAGAGTTTTGTCAGTACACTCTGAATTCCTGCGTGGCCCATCTAGTGGCCCTTACAGGAGTTGCAGCAGAGTTGCTGAGTAGTCATCTTGATTGCTTCTTCTGAGACCCACTGAACGCCCCACAGGACCCCCCCAGGGGAGGCCCGCTGCTGTCGCGCACAACAAGCAGGAAGTATGACATTGTTGTTCTGTTGCTCAGTACCCTGAAAATATATATATATATAATTTTTTATTTTTTTTTCTCACACCGACACTGTGAATTATCAGGGAG